CAAGGTGTCTTGGATGGGAGAGACACTAAGAAGCTTAGCACAGGTCCAGGCCCACACCGCTTATGTCTGCCCTGGGCCTCCCAGAGCCCCCCAGACTCCATAAGGCAACCCATGTTCCACTTCCTGCCACATGGGTCCCCCAGGATTTGGGCCTGCTTCTGGCCCCGCTGGGACCCACACTCTCAACCCCACCTGTCACAGCTTGGTCTACTCACCTTTTCCATAGATCTCTTTCTAGAAGCAGCTGATCCACCACGTGGTTTTGGGACCAGTGACAATTCATTGTGTCTATTCCAAAATGGCGTCAGCTTCTAGGACGATACCACATGACTTCCATAGACTGATGAGCAAATTTCCCAGTTCTCCTTTCCAAAGGTGATCCATAACTTCGGTCAGGGGTTATACATTCCTTCATTCAACACTATAGTATTTTCAAACAGTCACTGAATGAATGAATGTAAGTCAAGCACTACAGTATCTGTTTCAAGTTCAACATCTGAATGAAGCCTCCTGGGTATTTCTGGTTAGACTAAAATAATCTCCATGGTTTTCTTATGCTGATGCTCTCAAATGGATTTTCCCTGCATTTTACTTTTTTTTAGAAATCTACTAAATGAAATACAGTCACATGCAGGGCTGTTTCTGAGCTCTACGCTCAGGATAAATTACCAAAAGGCATGTGCATTACTAGATGAGAAGCCTAGCTTACATTATCAACAGTACATGGCCACAAAATGTCACAATTACATACATTATGCAACAAACTCGTGGCAAAATGTACTGTAATTTTTCATAGAATAAAAAACATTAGCCAATTTTTTTTTAATATGTAAATTTTTCTCTTTCTTTTTGCTGCAAGAAAATGAAACAACTACCATATTTTTCGGAGCATAAGACGCACCTTTTTCCCCCCTAAAAGGGGGTGAAAATCTAGCTGCGTCTTATATATCGAATGTAGCCCCGCCCACCCACTGGCCCCCACCCTTTGGCCTCTGCCTTGCAGCAGTTACCTCCTTGCAAGCAAACAGCAAGAAAAAACCATTCCTTTCAGCTTCAGCACAGTCTAATTAGCACAAGTTGATTAGATCGGCCTCCCAACTCTCAGCTGTTTTGCACAGGTCTCTGCTGCTTGCTGCATAGAGGTAAATTGCTGGAGCAGATTTTTTTTTTCCTTGTGCTAATCAAGCTATGCTGAAAACGAAACTGAAACAGGCTGTTTGCTGTTTGCTGCAAGGAGGCAAAATGAAGGCTATTGCTTAGCGCATTGTAAGCTGCCCTGAGTCTCCGGAGAAGGGCGGCATATAAATCAAATTTAAAAAAAAAATGCTCAGAGGCAGAGGGAGATTTCTTTTTCTGCTTTTCCTCACCCAAAAAGGTAGGTGCGTCTTATACTCCGAAAAATATGGTAACTCTCTGGAAACAGTTAAAAAAACCAAAAGCATAGTGTGTGTGTGTGTTTGTGTATTTAATCTTTAGCCATATAACTGCATTAACGTTGCAACCTAATCTCCTTTTTCGCTATTTTTTCTTCATACTCAGGAGGGTATATAGCTGTCAGTATGGATGTTTTTTCACTTATCCAAAAAGAACAGCAACTTTTTCTGGCCCTGGACATTTTCCAGTACACTGTCCCAATCCATGAAAGTTGCAAGGCCACTCATCAGAATGATGGCATTTTTGTCAGAACTCAGCACCTTTTATTTTTTTCATTTTGATGTGGCATAACACATTAGTTGTATCCCCTCGAGCTAGAAAACAGAACTCAAGTGGACTTTCTCTCATAGAAGAGATAAGCAAGCCATTGAAGGGAGACATTCAAAAAAATATTTCCAGAGAAAGAGGCAAATGTGAGAAAGAACCTCAAAATAACCCTGCCTTGAATTTGTTTGGTATAAGATGTGGAAGAGAGGAATATTGATAGGCAAATTGTGTTATTCTGCCCTATAACTATAAAGATCATTCCTAGAAACTCTGCCATTCCTGTTTCTTACCTTCATCTACTGAAATACAGTTATAAAGTTCTCCAAAGACTGGAGCAACTACACAAGAAGCTGTACACCCAGTCTCCATTCTCTGGGAAACCTACCAGAAAAATTGGGGAGGGGGTGGGGGGAAGAGCTCACAATCAATTCCTGAATATCATTATGCAGTGGGAATTGTTTCGGACAGGCCAACCAGTGGAATTGCCTACAGACTGGTCCAAGGTGGGCTCTGTTCCTAGCCTGCTAAAAGAAGGGGCAGTCAAATGAGATATGCCATTCCTTGAGGGCAATGATGCATTGGTGGGTAATTGCCACAACTTCATGCAAAGATTTAGAGCTGCTTTTTCAGCCAGGAGAACTACAGAAAATTGAGTCACTAACTGAAGCATGGAAATTGCCAAATTTGGGAGTACAGGCAGTCTTTAACTGGTTTCAGCAGGTTCTGACCAGTTCTGGAGAACCGGTAGCGGAAATTTTGAGTAGTTCAGAGAACCGGTAGAAAAAATTCTGACTGGCCATGCCCCCATCTATCCCAGCTGATCGGGAGGAAATGGGGATTTTGCAGTAACCTTCCCCTGGATTGGGGTGGGAATGGAGATTTTACAGCATCCTTCCCCTGCCACGCCCACCAAGCCATGCCCACCAAGCCATGCCACACCCACAGAACCGGTAGTAAAAAAAAATGAAACCCACCACTGGTTTGAACCTAGAATTACGATTGTAAGTTGTTGCGGTCATACGTTGAGGCTGTAGGAGATGACCTTGTCAGAGGCATCACGTAACCAGATTCAAAGTTACAACTATTTTTATGATGGTCTTTTTAAACAAATGTGGTTGTTAAGTAAATCCTTTTTCACCAATGGTTGGGGTTTTTTTGCTGGAAACTGGACATAAACTCCACAAACCAGCAAAAAAATAAATAAATCATAAATCATGTTCATGTGACCACAGGACACCGCAAAGCAGTGGTGAAATGTAAAATTTGTTACTACAGGTTCTGTGGGCATGGCTTGGTGGAGGAGGTTCATGTGACTGGGTGGGCGTGGCCAACTTTTATTTTTTTACTTTTAAAAGCATTTTTTCTACAACCTTAAGAGGTTGAAGAAAAAATGCTTTTAAAAGCCTCTGATGATCAGGCAGCTCAGCTGGGATCGCCAGAGTCTTTTGAAGGCCGAAGAGGTTGTAGAAAAAATGCTTTTAAAAGTAAAATAAAAAGCCTCTGATGATCGCGCGGCTCAGCTGGACATGGGGGGAGTGCATGGATGTTTGCTACCGGTTCTCTGAACCACCCACCGCCATCGTTACCGGATTGGGCAATCTGGTCTGAACCAGGAGCATTTCACTCCTGCCACAAAGGGACATAACGTCAAACGTCAACTGCCCAAATTGCAATCACGTGATTCAGGGGGGACATTGTAATTCAGAAAATGGGTGATAAGTGGCTCTGACAAGATCTATCATAACTTCAAACAGTTGTTAAGTGACTAGTAATAACTCAAGGATTATCTAGAGGTGATTTCCTGTTGTTCGCCAGAGATGTGGTCTTTAGAACGATCTTAGCCTGACCAGTTTGGGAAAGACTTTCTGATAAGAGTGTTAATCAGCAGATGATTGAGGAGTTGAGGCACGAAGGAAATAATAGGAGGAGGAGATTTTACTACTATTTGTAATTCCACGCCCCCTCCCTCTGACCTCATTGGACAACAACCTCATAGAAGCCAGGCAAATATGGTTGATGAAGAGACCCTCATCTGCCATAGAGAATAGAATAGAATAGAATAGAATAGAATAGAATAGAATAGAATAGAATAGAATAGAATAGAATAGAATAGAATAGAATAGAATAGAATAGAATAGAATAACAGAGTTGGTAGGGACCATTGAGGTCTTCTAATCCAACCCCCTGCTTAGGCAGGAAACCATTTCAGACAAATAGTTATCCAATCTCTTCTTAAAAATTTCCAGTGTTAGAGCATTCACAACTTCTGGAGGCAAGTTATTCCACTGTTTAATTGTTCTAACTGTCAGGAAATTTCTTCTTAGTTCTAGGTTGCTTCTCTCCTTGATTAATTTCCACCCATTGCTTCTTGTTCTACCCTCAGGTGCTTTGGAGAATAGCTTGACTCCCTCTTCTTTGTGGCAGCCCCTGAGATATTGGAACACTGCTATCATGTCAGCCCTAGTCCTTCTTTTCATTAAACTAGACATACCCAATTCCAGCAATCATTCTTTATATGTTTTAGCCTCCAGTCCCCTAATCATCTTTGTTGCTCTTCTCTGCACAAACATAGAAGGATCTCTGTGTACACTTTTGCTGTGGATCTCAAGGACATGTATTGACACGTTTATATCTGCAGCATCTGCATTGATGTTTTGTGTAAAAAAAGAAAGATAATATTTTGAGAGTTGTGGAGTATGATAGACTTCTGAACTCTATGGCCTTTAGGAACCAGCACACTTTTCAGTTCTGCTGAATCACCTTCAGAAGGTAATCACTTTCACTACAGTATACTTTTAGGAATGAATTAAAAGAAACTAACAACATTATAACGTATACCAGGGGACCCCAAGTGGTGAGTGAACACGTGCGCACAGGCAGCTCCATTTGCACGAGTGGCAGGCACTCACGCTCGCCCATAACTCCAGCTCTGTGAGCGGTAGACGCTCGTGCAAATGGACCTGTGCGCCTGCCTGCCGCTCACACAGAATCCCTCACTGGGCCGCCAAGCCAGAAAGGTTGGGGATCACTGCAATTCAAGCTGACCAGGTAATAACACAAGAATTGCTCCGGTTTTCAGGTAGACCTCAATTCACATGTTTACAGATGTCTCTGAACGGAAGTGTAGATGATGTCAAAGAATGAAACCATTTCCAAACAACTATACAGATTCAGCAGATCATTCAAATGGGCTGCAGTCTTGCCAACCGTTGGCTTCTGTCAACACAGTAGAGTATTTATCCAACGCTATTTCTCTGTGGCTTGGATCAAAAAAACAGGTCTAAAACACAGTCCATTACCTCACTAAGTTGGCACAAGGTCCCGGCCACCGGCAGCTCTGATAAACCCTTTGGATCACTGTCTCCGAGCCATTCTGCACTTGACAGGAAACTGTCCGGGTGACTGTGTAGTGGCACCAATGACTGCGGAATAGAACAGAAGACAAATTCTGTTATTCAAGTTTAATTATTTGTTTTAGCTGTAGTTCGCTGCAAATTCCAAAGACAAGTCAACAAGTACCAATTACCAGACTAAGATTGAATGCATGCCCAGGGTCCAAAGCTTCAGCACAAAGTCAGGTTTACAAGTCCTTATTAAAAAGGGGACGCGGTGGCTCAGTGGCTAAGATGCTGAGCTTGTCGATCAGAAAGGTTGGCAGTTAGGCTGTTCATATCCCTAGCACCGCATAATGGAGTGAGCTCCCGTTACTTGCCCCAGCTTCTGCCAACCTAGCAGTTTGAAAGCACATAAAAATGCAGGTAGAAAGCATGTAAAAATGCACATAAAAATGCAAGTAGAAAAATAGGGACCACTTTGGTGGGAAGGTAACAGCGTTCTGTGCTCCTTCGGAGTTTAGTCATGCCGGCTACATGACCATGGAATTGTCATTAGACAGTGCTGGCTCTTCGACTTAGAAACGGAGATGAGCACTGCCCCCTAGAGTTGGGAACGACTAGCACGTATGTGCAAGGGGAACCTTTACCTTTATTAAAGGCCAACAGGAATGGGGCCAATATAATATTGGGGAGGGGAGGTGGTAGTGATGATATTCCAAGGGGCAAGGGTGGCTGTTGCAAAAAAAGGCTGATTTCTGGGCCCTGCCAGCCAACACTCCCTATTGGATGTTTCCCAGAGCATGCCCTTCCTTCCTGCCAGATTAGATAGGATAGAGAGAAAAAGTCCCATAAATGACTCAGTCCTAAACTAAGACTTAAAGGTTGCACCCATAAGCACACTTGGGCACCAATATACCACAAGCCGCCACATTTTGCATCAGTTCAAACTTCAGAATATTCCTCAAGAGCAGTCCCATGTAAAGCACATTGCAGCAGTCCTATCTGGAGGTCGTAAGCACATGAATGACTTTAAACAGGGCTCCCTGATCCAGGAATGAGTGAATTGGCCCAAAGCCTAAGCTCTGTAAAGGACCTCCTGGCCATGGCTATCATCTGAGTCCAGGAGACCCCCCAGACTGAACATCACGTCTGTCTGGGGCAGTGCCACCCCATCCAGAACCAAAGATGAAAGGTCCCTGAAACCAGAAGGTCCAAAAACTTAGAGCAGGGGTGTCAAACTGGCAGCCCACAGGTCGGATGCGTCAAGCACAGGCCACGGCCATCCCAGCTCCGCGAAGAGAAAAAATGACACAAAACATCACATGACAGCACCTGCAACCTAGAGCCATTCAGTTTTCCTTGGGCTGAGCTGAAGCTTGTTATACCCTATCCAGGCCCCCACAGGCTCCAAGCTCTGAACCTTGATAGTATCACTCAGGCAGCCTGAGGTAGAGATATAACCCCAAACTTTGGATGACCTCAACCAGCAGCTTCGTGCAGATATTAAATAGAGAGAGTACCAAGGGCCCTGAAGCAGCCCACAAAGGAGGCGTGGCCAGCGGGATCTCTCCCCCATTAACACTTACTGGAACCAATTCCAAAAGGAGGAGGAGAATCAACACAACACCCTGACACCCACTCCCACTCCTAGAGCTGGTCCAGAAGACTATCATAATCATCAAAGGCCACTGAGAGGTCAAGAAGAGCAAAAATGGACACACTACCCCCATCCTGCTCCCGGCAAAGGTCATCGAAAAGCATGATCAAGGCCATTTGAGTCCCATACCTAAGCCTGAACCATCATTGAAAATGCTCCCGATAACCCACTTCTTCCTCTGAAGCTTCAATGCATCTATTTTCTCTACAACATTTCCTAGAAAGGGAAAAGCGGAAACTGGATTAAAATTGTACAGGATGGTGGAGTTTAGTAATAGCTCCTTGAGGAGGGGGCAAACCATTGCCTTCTTAAGAGATAGAACTACCCTCTCCTTCGAGGGGCAGTTAATCACCACTGGAACCTAATCACATGTCCCTTCCTAAGAAGCCTCAGCCAGCCAGGAGGGACATGGATCTAACGGAGGTATCTGCATTAACAGCCTCAAGGACCATGTTCACTTTCTCAGTCTCAACAGGATCAAAGATAGCCAAGCTAGAACCAGCCAAAGTAACTTCCACACAACCTGCCTCAAGGCCAGAGACCAGCTCAGAGCAGATCTGATCAACTTTGTCCATTAGCCTAACATATTCTTTACATAGTCCTGTTAGTGAATCTTAGAATCATTTCCACCCAGAAGGCATGAGGTCACACAAACCAGGCCACTGGACAGCTATCTGGAGATGTAATAAGGGCAGAGAAATATTGACATTTCTCTGCCCTTAACAACTGTGTTGTTAAGCACAGTTGCTTAACAACTGTGGCAAAAATGTTGTAAAATTGGGGTCAACTCATTTAATACCTGCCTTACCCAGCAACGGAAATAAAGGTTTATCTGTAGATGGTGGTTGGTCTGCTAACATTTCTCTGCTAATATTTCTTATGCTCTTGTCATCTTGAGCATATTGTCAGGGTTCCAAATAATAGACCCATAGCAAGCAAAACTCCAAGGCAGGTAGATTCAACAGCGGTTTCCTCCTAATTAAAAGTTTGTCACTTTCTCAAAACAATCAGTCACATGGTCCAATCACGGCGCTGTCTGGTTGTCTGATAACATCACTCCGCCTTCCTCTGCCAGGTGTGAGAATATCCTTGGTTCCCAAGAGAAAGTATTTTGTTTTGGCTACAAAATCCCAGCTATCTAAAATCCACCCTCCCTATCCCTCAGCTCCAGTGTGGCAACACTGAAGAATCCAAGATGGCTTCGGTCAGGTCAGCTTCAGGGTTGACACATATATCCAGATAAATGTAATGTTGGCCATCCCTGAGCTACATTTAGTAAATGTATGGCATTACAGGAAGCCTTCAATATCGCTGGCTCAGACATGAGCCTGACTAGCTGGCCATCTTTTCCTTGCCAGGAAACACTGAGATAGGAAGATGAAGTAGAAAGTATACTACAGGAGGATTAAACTTTATAAAGTTTTGACACTGAGGAGGAGACCCTAGCTGTGTTTACATTACCCAACGCAGTTAAAATTTTGCATCCTGGGATGAAGGATTTCCTAGCAATAAAACAAACAAGATAATTAAAAGCTTCTCTCGGTCCCTTGGATGCATCTTCTCATCTTTAAGGGAATGACTCATGGCTTTGACCTCATGGGACTGTAATTTTATGACAAAGGAAGATGCATTTTAAAAAAAATATTTCAAGTGAATGAGGACTTGTGCAGAAAAAAAAATCTGCAACATCCAAGACAAAAATGCCCAGTTCACTTCAACCTTCTCTATTTGAACACCTTTTTTTTAATACAGCACTTATAGTTAGATTCTAAATTTACCCTAAATGGATTCTAATGTAGTGACATTAAAGTTTAAAAAAAAATACAAAAGGAGATTTTAAAATGTATTATTCCATGCTTCACAGAGACATCTAAGAATAGATAATGGTGAAGGAAAATTACTAATTTATTATCTGTTAAATATCACCTTAAAAAAGAATAAGCAAAAATGAAGAATGGAAGCAATAATTTCACAATTCCAAACACAGCTAAATGTAAGAAAAGGTCATATCATAGTTAAATGCTAAAAAACAAACAAAACTAGGCCCATTTCTGATGGTGGGCAGGGCAGATGTTTCTTCTGCTCCATATAAAGTGAATGAGGAAAATTTATGATGGGACAAGAAAGATTTCCTCAAAAGTTACACTTAAGATAACTGTTTAAATGATGTCTAAAGAGAGAAAAACCATTATCAAAACATAAAAAAGGATGCCAATATTTTTCTATCTTTTTAAACTGTTGAAAATTAACATACTGATTGTTCTGAGCCAAGCTTCCTGGGACAGTAAAAAGCACACGCTTAGTCCTAAAAACCCTCTTTTTATTTCAACTGCTGTGAATTCTGTTCATTCACAGCCCATAATGAGTCAGAAATATTTTGTAAAGAATCCAACAGAAGTCTGCCACAGTCTTTCAGGATAAGGCTGAAAAGCACCCACCTTTATCTCCCTTGACACGCTGCCAAAGACCTAATTGGCAATTAGCTTTGCAAGGCCACACGGAGCAGTCAAAACAGAGCTTCAGAATTCAAACCAACCAGAACGAACAAAGTTGCTTCCTGCAAAGTCTCAAGTGCCTTTGCTCCTCCTTTATGTCTTATGGGAGGGGCCAATCATCTCCAAGCCCCTCAGATACTCCCAAGTTATCCCTTTTGTCTTAACTGTTCTTGCCTTCTGACAGCTCTGCGCATGTGTGCACTGGGAACAGGTTCCCCCTGTTCCTCTGCCTCGCTGATGTCTGACTCTGGAGGCTCCAGAGGCAGCACATAACTCCCAGATGGCCCTGGCCCCTTCTCTGCCTCTGGCGCAGAGCCCTCGCCCGAGCCTTCCCCAGACTCCAAGATTGGCCCATATTCCTCCCCAACCTCCTCACTGTCCGACTCTGCTGCCAGCTCCGCAGACCGCCGGCACACCACAACACTGATAGACTCACAGGTTACTAAATAAAAATGTAAAATTTCAGGAATAAGGGGGGAAATCCTCTTACTTTGGTCCCTTGGTACTCAACTGCTTTGAAACTCGTCAAATTTAATACTGAACATATTTTGATATAACATTTTTGACCCACTACTCATTGTTTGTTTTGGTACTCAATGCACAAGCTAGAACTTATCGGTGTCAGCTGCCTTGTGATTCACTACATTATTCCTTACAGGAAAAATTTGTTTGGTACTCATTGTTTTTGGTACCCATCGCACCTCCCGGAACCAATTAAGGATGAGTACCGAGGTATCACTGTATTTTTCTTGAAAACATTGGGACAAAATGAAATATATGCAATACTGTACTTACTTTTTAAAGTACCCTTTATAGCAGTGATTTTCAATCCTAGCAGTTTTAAGATGCGTGGATTTCAGCTTCCAGAATCCCCCAGCCAGCAAGCACTGCTTCTCAACCTTAGTAACTTGAAGATAAATGGACTATAACTCCCA